TGTGCATAGTAATCATAGGCACATTCTTTAAACTGGTGCACCAGAGAAATGGTAACATCTTCATTCAAGAAATTGCTCTGTAAGTCACTTTGGATAAAATAATTAGTAAAACTAAATATAGCCAATTTGACCATTGAGTATTATGCTTCTACTGTAGATCTACTGCCCTCTGTTGTTTTTTCACTTTCTGTCTCCTAAAGCACAGCCACCATGCCCTCTAGAGGTCAGAAATGCAATTGAATTGATATTGCATGTCCAAAATGTACTGCACCACTTTATAATAATGTTCATGAGTAAGTCATTAAAACACAGTATAGTGCCTGACAGGTCAGTATTTCATATACATTAGAAGATGCACATATATCATAAATATCAGCAATCATATTTTCATGACATTAAAAATTTACTGTTTTTTGGAGATACTCTGTAAAACAACATACATCTCTGAAGTACCTTGAAGCACTATGTAAATACCAGAGTGTATGAATTTGAAAAATACTATGGTATTACCACCTGCATCTGTGTGCTTCATAATTATGCATAAAAGTAAGAAAATCTCTGCAGAAACTGAAAGGGTCATAACCCTGCCGGACCTCCATCAGGTAGGTTGGCCCAGTAGATGACACGATATCCAAGCAGCATGCCGTTGAGCGCTTCTTTGGGCAGAGCAGACCAGGACAGGGAGATAGTCTCAGGGGTTGTAGCTGTTGTCACAACGTTCTCAGGTGGGCGACTGGGCACTGCCAACGAAAACAGGACAGTGTTAGTTAATAAATGTGATATTATCTATCATGCAATCACAAAATATGTATGTGCATTGCTATATCTTACAGATCAAATTGAAAGCCAATAGGTGTGAGTAATTAATTAATTAAGCTTCAAATGGGGGTTATTTTCATGCCACAAAGCAAAGCATGTAAATGCATTAAGAAACACCACTAATACAATAAATATGGGAATTATAAAGTGACTAACCGTCCTCTAGCGTGGTGATGGTGATTTCCTCCGAAGTGGGACCCATGCCTGCACGATTGGCTGCTTGCACCCGCACCTCATACTGGGTGTACTTTTTCAGGTTATCCAGGGCGAGGGTTTCAATGTCCCCTGTGGTGTCTACATTGATGGTGTTGTATTGTGGGCTGCCCCCTGTCCCAAATTCTCGATAACACGCTTGGTAGCTTCGGATCAAACCATTCTGCAAGTGTTTGAGGGGAGGCTGGAAAAAGAAGAGATATTGTAACATCAGAAACACATGGCTGAATTCCAAATTCCTAAAGTAAGCACTTCTCTAGTGATGGAAAAGTGTTGGGACCTACAACCCCTTTTAACTTTTTAGATTTATTTAACAAACCGCTGTGGCAGTTTCAACATCCCATTCCTTACCATATTTCTATACTCTTTTCATTCACCAACAGAAAATAACATAATTGTTAGTTCAAATGAATACATTAATAAGAGAAAATGCAATTGTTGTAGGGAAAAATAAGGTATTTTGCCTTTAAGTTAAAAGAGCCAATCACTTCTGTCATCTTCTGTTTATTTACTTTAGAACTATTTGAAAACAATACCATTTTCAATACATTTTTTAAGAAGCAAACTTATACTAAGCTAATATTAGGTGGAAGGAAAAACTATATTTGAATGCTTTTGCAAGTGAATGCAAAATTTCTCTGGAGTGTACAAAAGTATTGAAATTCAATATTTCCTCCATCTCATTTTTTTTCTATCCTCGTGTCCACTTAGTGGCTCTGTTAAATAAATAAATGAATAAATAAAAACCCACACACATCACAACCGAAGTGGCCTATTTCCTTGGAGCAAACTATTTAAATATTTTAATAACTCAAAACCATGAGTTAATTCACTCACAAGAGAGTTAGACAATGTTACAGATCAAATGATACATACTGTATTATTGTATTATTATTATAAAGGAAGAAGTCATGTTAGAGCTTTAACAAAATATGATCTTCACATTTGTGCTTTTTGGCCCTCCAGAATGCTGCCTTGATATACGTAAACCTCCATTGTCACCTCAGTAAAAAAAAAAGTTATTTATTTATTTTAAAGAGGGGGTAGTTAAACATACTGTTCTGTGATAATTAACATTAAGTCACTACTGTTGATATAGCATAAACCCAAAATATTCCTAAAAAATGTAGCAGGATTTAGCCAGCACAAATTCCAATTTTGCATAGGCTACTATAGCATCACAAGTGGTTCCTTGGTTGTACCTTCCATGTGACTTTGATGCTTTGGGATGAGATTGCTTCCAGCTGCACGTCTTGAGGAGCGCCGTCTGGTGCTGGATTGATCACATGCAGGAAAGACAGAGAAAATAATGGACTGAGCCTCTAGGTGGCGGCACAGATAATACAAAGAAATCCTATAGAAAAACCTCACAAAAGCTCACACCATTTTCAGTTGTAGGAATACTCACGTGCTTCATCTGTGGTGATGGTCAGCTCATTGCTCGGTCTGCTTTCGCCGATCTGGTTTTTGGCAAACATGCGGATGTTGTAGGTGGAAGCAGGGTGGAGTTCAATGATGGTGGCCTGATTCAGCTGAGGGGAGACGTCTTTGGTCATTTGAGATGAGGCCCATGGAGCTTAAAGAAATACAGAGGAATACAGAGTGACACAAGTGGCTATGCTACAGTCATTCTATCATAGTTTAAAGGGTGTAGTAATATAAAAAGATAGCAAAAATAAAGACAGACCAACAAACCACTTAAAGCTTCCAATCAACGTAACGATCAAAGTTCATTCTATGAACGACTGACACACAGAATTTAGCCAATGTAAAAAAAAAT